AACCAAAGATCATAGAAAATAAAAATGCTGGCTATGTGTATGGCTCCCTTATATTCTATGTTCTCTGTTATAACGAAAGTGCTACCACGTTTGTATAAAAACTTGTTTTTAAGCCAAAGTACAGGGAGACTCTTATTAAATTAACAAAAAAAAACACTCATAATCGGGATCAAAGCGGTACAAATATGAAAAGTCCTGACACTTATACGTCCCACCAAAATCGCTACGAATTGTCACCGCATACATAAATATACTTTGTTTATACATATTTGTGTGTGTAACTATCTTGTTCCGCTGAGCAGTATTTATTTCCACCGCTCAACTATGCAAGGGTTAACCATCCATATTTTCTTCCACTTAACATGATTCTTATCGCCCACTCAAACGTCTCATTTCATGTGCAATTCATGCGCACGTTCCTGTTCACATTCAGCTGCCTATTTCTTTTGCCGATAAAAGCAAATGCACAGCTCAAGTGGGTCACAGCAAATACTTGAAAGCGTATGGCTTTACCCAAATATATACTTTTCCATGCATACATACATACAAACATACATTAGCTACCCTGCAGAAAAAAATTGTCAATTGATAAAAAATAATAAACTTGTAGTTAGCTTTTTTGCGAAATTTCTATAAAATATATAACTTATGCTAACTTGAAACAAGTGCAGGAGTAGGGCTCGAGATTGTTTTCTTTAAAAGCATTTCCATTTAAATATCCAGCACTTCGCAAATACTTTTTCGAATTAAGGACAAATAAAAGGAAGATCGAAATTTCATATTATCATTCTGAAGTTATGTCTGACGGAATTCGAATATGGGACCTGCTACAGCAGAATATGTAAACAAACATGAAATGTGATAAAATAAATAAAGTAAAAAAATAAAAAAAAAAACAAAACAAAAATATATAAAAATATTTTGTTTTTCCTATTGATATTTTATGACCAAATGTAGTTAGTTACAAGTTAGTTACATCAAATGCAGAGGTAACCACCCTTGACTACATCTAATGCAGAGGTAACCACCTTTGACTATGGCCATCGCCATAGAAATATAGTTAGTTTTCGTCAAAGAAAATATACAGATAATAAGTGACTTGTAGGTCCTTCCTAATCAACTTAAAGTTATCTTATAGTTAGATACATTTCCTACAGGGCATACTCTTCACCAAGCATCATGTACATACGTGCATACATAGGCACCGTATACCACTCAGTATTTGCTATCCACGCAAACACACACCTACACCTATAATCCTTTGCCAACACGAGTACCCATCGCCACATAAACACTTCAATGCGCATTTCAAACCACTCCAAATCGTCGATCCTCCATACACCTACAATGCTTTTGCTCACATTTGCTGCTCGTATGCGGCTGTGCTTATATAGCACATCCATATTATATACTTCATGTGTGTGTAAACATATCCATATGAATTTACAATCATTCTTTCTTTCAAGACCGCTGTCAATCGTTTGCTTTTGTAATCCTTTTGGTTCCGCTTTTTCTTAAGGTAAGTACTTAAATTTTTTCATTGCATACTTTATAGCCGTTTTAGCAGTTATGAAAACCGATAACATCTCTATGATGAGACACAGAAAGAAGTAAATATGACGAATATAAATAAAAGAGATTGGCTAAGCGATTAAAAGGAGTGGGCTTATATGTACATACGTACTCGTGTATTTATAGCTCGTCATATGGCTTTTTAGTAGACTAGAGTGCCTGCTCCACAACGTTTTATTTTTTTTTTTACTTTCTTGTCCGACACAAAAAATTGATATGCACTTAATGCCGTCAGTAGTTGTTAGATGTTAATTTTGTGCAATTTTTGGTGCGTGTGTTTGAAAGCAGGGTTTTTTCCCATTCGATTTTGTTTTCTTTATACGCTTCATTTTGCGCCAATGAATACCGGAAATGCATACCCTTTTTTTGAAAAGTTGACACTTCTACATACGGGAGTGGTCTCAGAAGTGCCCAACCTAACAAAGAAAACAAAAAAATGGTGGGAAAAATTATATTTATTTTTCAACATGATCGCCTTTCAACTCTATACACTTTGCCCAGCGCTGCTCAATAAGTTCGATACCCCTTTTATAATAAGAACTGTTGTGTTCCTCAAAATAGCCATTAACTGCCGACATCATTTCTTCATCGTTAGAAAATCTTGACCACGGAGCAATTTTTAAGAAGTTGGGGAACAGAAAATAGTCCGAGTGAGCTAAATCTGGCGAATAGGGTGCATGAGGTAGCAATTCAAACATTAATTCATTAATTCGCTAAACACTCAAGTGAAACCTCTTCACGACACTGTTTTTGGTCGAGTGTGAGCAAATGCGGCACCCATCTTGGACACAGCTTTCTCATTTCCAAATCAATTCAGATAATATGCGATGTACCGTACTTTTAGAAATGCCTACTATATCTGCTAGATCTTTCGAACTTCAGTCGACGATCATCCATACCGCTTTGTGGACTTTCGTCATCAATTCTGGAGTCATCACCTCATTTGGTCGACCAATGCGATATTCGTCTTGGCAGCTCGTACGGCCTCGGTTAAACTCTGCTACCCAATATTTTACTATTGTAAACGAAAGAGTAAGACCCGCCCAAAGTAGAATCTATTTCAGCTTTTATATTGGATGGGGTTAGGCCTTTCAAATAAAAGTATTGTTAGGCCTTTCAAATAAAAGTATTGTATCACATAACGATGACCAATTTTCTACATTTTCACAAATTCACTGCAAACGTTCACTTATTGACGGCTGCCAAGCATATGCTAAACAACGTGGCGTCTTAAAGCTTGAAACATGTGCTTTATAGATTGTGTACTTTTTAACACAGTGATATTTTTCCTACAACTACCGCCATCTCTAGGTTAGGCCGGGTACTTTTGGGACCACCCCCGTAGAGATATTTGTATGTATGCATGTTGTTGTACATATGAACATGCAAACATGTGTATATGGTAATAACTTAATTTGCATATTTTTTTTTAATTCTCTCTCCATATTGAGTCATTAAAAAAACATTTAAGTACTTACAGCTTTACTAACGTATTTAAATTTCATCAGGAAAAAATAACTTAGTAGCACAAGCACATAAAACAGTGGAGCAAAAACAACATTTACGTATATTTTGTTGTTGCTTTTGGTTTGTAAAATATCAAAAAAGAATTCTGCTATTTAAGATATCATAGAGTACCTTTTCTGATCGCTTCGTTAACCTCAGCTTTTGAGAATTTTGGTGTAATATGCATAAGTTAGTGCTGCCGGACTATGAACCGCTATAGAAATGCCCAAGTAATTTAAAGCAGACCTTCTTCGATATGGAGAGTGGATTTATCGAAGCCAAACCAAAATCAGAAAATTTATGGTATTTTAATTTACCCACAAATTTGCGTAAATTTTAGCAAAATTTTCAACAAATTTATTTTCTGTGCAAAGATTAATATGGAATTTTTTTATTTCCAGTTTCTTACTTGGACGTAAAATAACAAACTTTTTTAAATACAATAAGGCCCTGCTTGTCTAAATTGAATAAAAAAATCTAGAAGTTTGGAGAAAGAAATATAAATACAAAAGGTTTTCGTATAAATTTATGATTTAAACTTTTAGTTAAAATTTAAGCTATGCGAAAAAAACATAGTGCAACAAAAAAAAAATCAAAACGCACAAAACACTCTATATACTTACGAAACTGAGGCCAGATATAGTGAAATTAAATTTAAAAAATATGCTTGATTAAAAAAAAAATCAAAAACAAATTTGGGTAATTTAGTATAACAGTGCGGGTACCAGCTGCAAGAGAAAATCCGGAGCATTTAAATTTAAGTCTTTTGGTTCACAAGCATGAATAGGTATTGAAAATGCCTTTTAATTAATTTAATTTTTTTAAGCTAATAAAATTAGATGGACAAAACACAACAATTTTTCAAAAATACATATTGAAAATTTTCAAGGATATTCAAGCATAAAATTTTAAAAGTACGTAGTACCTATTCGTCCTTATGCACCGAGAAGTTTAAACGTTTTTAATTCTAAAGAATTTGCACTGAATTTTTTAAATAATAGTTTCACGATATTGATTTTTTTTTTGTAAGTGTAAAATAGACTGTCGCACGGTGTAATTAGTGAAGTTATAAATTATTCATTGTATTGAAGCATCCCTTAACCTTTGCATTTATGAAAAATCGCAGTATTTCAACATTTTAATATTTAATACCTACATAAAAATCTTACTAATTCGAAGCAGATATTATTTGCGAACTCAAACTCAACAGAGCTCGAACTCATAGTACATATAGATATACATACAAGCATGAATTTTACGATGTCAAGCACTTCAAAGAAACAAGTGGCAAGACCTTCTCTGCAACGCACAATTATTCGCTTGTACCGCAGTTGGCATTCACCAATTCATGTTTTGGTTTTCATTGAAGTGCACAACTATCTAGCACTTTCACTTGCTTGAACATGTTTATGCAGCCCACAACAATTTCAATTGGAATGCCTTCACTGCCAGTTAAAGCAAGCAATAGTATTGCCTACCTGCAGGCGTTCAAGCACGCTTTACTGCCACTAAATATTTCGTTCGGAAAAGGCACTTTAAACTTATAGCATACATATTAACTTGTAATTAAGTATTTGTACATATGCATGTGTGTGTGTGTGAAATAATACATTACAAATGCCGACAACCGCTCAATATTGCCGTACAGGCAGTTAACGCCTAAAAGCAGCACAGCAACGCGGCGATTCCTTGGCGACACGAACAGATGATTTTAGCTGACACAACAGCCTAGCCCAATTACTTGCACAAGATTCGTACACTCGCTAAACATACATAAATATGTATGTACATATGCGTGTGTTTTATGTGCGACTGTGGTATGTGTAATTGGCAAAAAAATAAAAAAAATTTTGCACACGTTTGAATTTCTTTTTCACTTTTATTACATATCAAGCAATGCTGGCGTATTATACACTACTCACTTTTTTCACTTCTCTTTCGCAGTTTAATTGCCTAAAAGTATGCACAATTATTTTGCATTGTTCTTGCGCGTATCAGGCCTTTAAATACCACACACAGTTGCCACGTTTCTTAGTATTTCGGCTTTATATTTTTTACAGCTAAAGCTTTTCGTTTTATGTTTTATAATTTAATTTTTTTTTCTTGAGTCACATAACTCTACACCGTTCCGCAATTTTCAACGCGTTCATACACAATCGAATCGCCGACGGATATCTCCACACGCTCAGTGTGTGTGCTCACCGGCCAACAGTTCAAATGAAACTAGTTGCGACACGGCTGCTGCCGACGCGATTGTTCGCACTCTGGCATCGCTGTCGTTTACGTTGTCGTTGTAATCGGCGGTCATGTGCATGTGCCCGACATTCGGCCCATCGGATGCTGACTGTGTTCGCTGCTGGTGCTGGCCATTGAAAACGTTACGGCTGCTGCATAACACTAGGCGTGCTGCTGTACGACGCTTGCCCATATTTCGAAAGTATGTATGTATGTGTGTAAGTAACGCAGGAAAATTTCGAAGTTTCCTTCGAACCAAATCAAAACAAAAGCAGTGAGAAGCTCATCCAGTACCACAGACAACATTGCGCATAGCATGAATGTGCAGCGAGCGGATGGCCCCAAGTGTTCAAAGTATATAAAAAATATACCCAAATCCGCAGATTTTCGAATTCAATTGTGAATCCCAAAAGCATGCTTGGCAAGTATTCCGCGTAAGGTGCAGCTCACATTCAGCTTCGCCTACCGCATTCGTCGATTGTCGTTGTTCGAAAGTGTGCCAAATGAGCGTCGTGTACGGTCGTAAAAAGCACTCCGAAAACACGCTCTGAGTGCGTCCTAACGATTTTACACTCTTAAATATTCCTCGCACTCTCTTCAATCACTGATATCTGCTTAGCGCCAAGTATTGCCCCGAATATGAGCTTTCATTTTGCGCTTTCGTTTAGTGTAATGCGCCGGTGTCAAAGCTCTGCCAGTTTTCTATTCAAATATTTCTGCAGCAACACAACTTGCCCGTCAGTTTAGGTACAAACACACACGAACTCTGTGTGGGTTTTGTCTTTTAACCCAAGCGCCGTAATGTATGCTAAGCATTTATGTGTCAGCTGGTTGTTAGCAAACAAATAGAAAAAAAAATCGTCCAGCAGAAGCATACTCGCGTGCATACACACACACACGCTTATTGCCGCAGCGTGGTACATAAAGCCACTTACATACAAGCGCTCAAACATTTGCATTTGCTGGGAAATATTTGTCCTCAGCCACTCAGTCGTTTGGTTCCGAGAATGCTTTGGTTTTTCATTCGTTGTTGTTGTTGTTTTGTGTCTGCTTTAGCATGAAATATGCTTTTTGCCATGCTTATTTGTGGGTAAACGTAAACTTTGAATGGCGAAATATTTCCCTAACGTCCATGATAAGGACATACAATGGGTCGTATTCTTGTTTTATTTAGTACGAGACGAAAATTTGAAATTTTCCTATTAGTTTTCTATAAAAAGTTTTAAATTTTTGATTCATACGGAAACAAGAATTCGGCCCTATATATACACATTTACAAAAGCTTAGATGTAGATATGGTGACTTTTTTACGAGCTGGAAACCAAACCCCATCAGTGTGAGGCATTAACCCAAACTAAACCTCCTACCGTCCAAGTACCGATCCCGCCAGTACAACCGTAAAGTATCCCGCTGGGAGAAGGTCTTAGCGCTAAGCTGTGATTCCTTTACAGTTCGGATGCTGTCCGCCAACAAGTAGCATCCACTCACCGCCGTGTCATGTTCACCTACTTTTCTACGCATTTCACTTTCTTGCCAAGATTCTTTGTATACTATCTTCTCGTCTTAGCTGCCGGTATATCTAAGCTATTACGGTGTGCGCTACATCCCAAACGTGCTTCGACGTCAACGCGTTCATGTCATTCAGGCTCTTTTTCGTTGCCCGATTATCAGTATTTCCTCTGCTAAGAGATCAATAGGCGTCATACCAGTGCTGCTTCGTCTGAAATGGTTTTGTGTGCGCGCGCAACTCTCATTGCACATAGCCTGCGGAGCGCCTCACAAAAGTACCGAAGTAACTACATACTCGCATCAAGAGAGCACGCTTTCTGCCTCGAGGTCCTCCTATACTATGGAGCATTCGTGATAGGGCATCATATATCCTTTAAACAAACGCAATTGTTTACACTTTCACTTCAATAAATAAAAAATGTCTTTGTTCTTTGATTAGTTGCTTCTTCCCTTAGTACTTCTTTCCCTTAAGGCCTCTACACACGTTGCTGATGCTTGGCTAAATGAGATTTATAACTTAACCAACCACCGACGTCAAACCGTAGACCGTGTCAGCTGACAAGACGTAGTTTAGCGTAGTTGTTAACGAAAACGGTGACTTTGTCGATGCTTCTCTCTCTCTCTCGCTCTCTATTAACAGCAACTTCATATGTTGATACGGACGGCAGTTACGGAAGGGCGCTCCGTCGGTGGCTAGTTGGGCTTTAGCCATCCTGGGCCGCCTCGTTGCCTCGGTGCGTACGGCGGAAGCCTTCAGTTCTCTCACAAAGGGGCGGACCGTACGAAGCGTTGTTTGGCGGATTTGTTCCGACTTTGTGTGGACTGCTGTGGCGTACTTCTCCTCGAGGAGTCATAGTGAATCAAATATCGCAGACGCTATGACTTAGTGGCTAGAGGCGCATACAGCCACTCCGTTGGACTTGAGTCCGTTCCCCAGTTCAAGCAACAACTATAATAGAAAACGTTTTTGTTCTAACTGCGGTCGCCCCTCGGCAGGCAATGTGAAACTTCCCTGTGTGCTTGTGTCTTGAGAAATCTTCTCAGAAAATCCATTTTTTTGTTCGAAGGCGAACATACATATGTGTTAGAGCCAATCTATTATGAATATTATTATACATGTTTATAATTTAAAATAGCATTAAAATATAATTTTTTTAATGCATGACAATTTTTCACAAAAACCAGGTTCAAATTAAATTAAATAAAATTGAAAAAGAAAATGGTTGCATCTATGCAAGTTTATCCTTATGCAAATCTCTACTGCACCTCCACTTCAGGTAAGTAAAAAAATAAATAAATAAATGCAGATCGAAGAGAAGTAAATTAGCTACATATATCGGATGAACCAAAAATAATTTGCCTCGGGGTAAGTTCACAAAGGCAAAACATAAGTGCAAAATGGCAAAAGCAGCAAGACTCAGAAACAATGACAGAGCGTATGTGGGTGGCAGCAAAAATTAGTTAAAAAAGTTTGACTAGACTAAAACGTAGCATAATTTAGCTAAAGCGTGAGTCTATATGGGGCGTTCCATACCAAAATGGACGGGGTTCACAATACATTTTTAAAAACTTTACAGCACAAAAACAAAAACAAATCGAATTAATAATTTTCCAAATATCTCGAGAAGGGGGCGAGGAAAATATTAAAAAAATCACACATACACACATCAAAATTCTCTATGAAAAGAAATATTTTTAAAATCCTTTTCTGGAAAAATTTTTCACATACAAATTTTTTGATAAAAAAAAAAATTTGGAAAATACGCCATCTTAACAAAAATTAAAAGTTTTTAAATTTTTTTTGAATATGCAGTTTTGTAGCCCATTAAATTTTAGTATAACAAAGCGGAAGTTTAAGCGATTGCGAAATTGGCGTTAATTTTTTTTTAATTTTCTTTGAAAACGGTTTTACGCATTTTCTTCCATAGGAAAAAGTGCAAAAAGAAAAAAAATATATATAAAAAATCAACGCAATTTTTCTGTACCTTAAAACTGCATACTCAAAATAATTCTAAAAGAGATTTAAAAAATTTTACATTTGTAATGTACTCATTTTACTCAACTTCGGTGTAAAAAAAATTCATAACTCAAATTATTGTAGGGTGCACCCCATAATACTATATTTAAATATTGCGCAATACCCAGAGCCTCCATTGTGATTTTTTTTAATTTTTTTTGAGATAACATATTTTCAAAAACAATTTTTTTTTGTATCAAAAAATTTGTATTTGCAAAATTTTTCAAGAAAAAAAAATTTTTTAATATATATTTTTTTTTACTTTTTCCTCGCTCCGTTCTCGAGATATTTGGAAAACTATTAAATCGATTTGTTTTTGTTTTTGTGCTGAAAATTTTTTAAAATTGTATTAAACATGCTCAAATTTCATATTTATTTATTACTAATGTTTATCCATCCACCCTAAAATTTTTAAACATATCAAACACATTAAGTATGAACCCCGTCCATTTTTGTATGGAACGCCCCATATACTTGTTTTTGGATGTAGTCCATTGGACATACATACATATGTGAGAGCGAGTGTAAAAGTGACTTTCAGCATCGGAGCGACCTAGTGGAGTGATTTCAAAGCCGGTTTTTTAACTTTTGCAGTAAGCCCAAGGCACTTAGTGTAACTTAGAAAAACATGACGCCAACATGCGTACAAAAAGTTAGCAGTTCATGTAAATGGTAATCAAATGGCTAGTGGCAAAGCTTAGTAACTGACTGACGACTACTGTAATATTCGCACACTTAAAAAGCAATTTTTTCACTGACAGTCAATTTTACAAACACAAAAATGTGTAGTAGAAAAAACGTTGTTGGCTTTCGTCACTAATCGGGATAGTTTTTTTTAAGAAATTTTAAAATTATTGCCGCTCGGTGTACTAAATATGCCTAAAACGTCAACAACCTAAACTAAGAGTAGAACACTATTGATTGGTAAACTTTTTTTAAGTTTATTTTTTCATTTGAGGCACTTTCTTTTTTTAAATTAAAAAAAAATGCTTAACTTTCAAAGGCAGTTGCATTTTATAACCAAAGATAAGTGCTTTTAGTCTACATACTTACTTTGTGGTTACCTGTTTACATATGCACATACGTACATACGTACATACGCATAAATGTAGGTAATTACCACGCCTGCAGCCCAACGAAAGTAAATAAGCGCAGTGTATATTTTAGATAAATTGCAACTACTTTTTCACTTTTTATTAACTGCCTATGCACAAATATGTTAGAAAATATACATATATCTACATAAGCACTTCATATATTTCTATATGTATGTACATATACAACTACTATTTTCTCACTTCGTGCTTTGTGCAGTAGCAACTCCTTTTCCATGAAATGGCTTGCATGCAATTAGAACGTAATGAATTTTTAAATAGCATGCTTTTAGGCGCATGACATGCGATACTCTATAGTTTACACTATGTGTGTGTGTGTATGTAGTAGGTCCATATGTATGTGCATACTATATAACGAGGTCTGGAAAGTTGACTCAATTTCATTTCAACGCTAATTATTTCCGGGCCGTTTGGAAGG